ATGGTTATCATGATGGTCGCATGCTTCGTGTGGAAGCATCGCGCATGAGGGTAAACTTATTATTGCTGTTGTTGTGCTTGTGGTTGTTGTGGTTGTGGTTGTTGTGGTGGTGGTGGTGGGGGTGGTGGTTGTTGGTGTTGTTGATGTTGTTATTGTTGTGGTGGTGGTGGCTGGTCTTGTTGTTGTTGTTGTTGTTGGTGGTGTTGTTGTTGTTGTTGTTGTTGTTGTTGTTGTTGTTGTTGTTGTTGTTGTTGTTGAACATTATTTATTCTAAAGAATAATTATTGTTGGGCCCCCTGGTGCGCGCCCCCCCTGCGCCGCCTAGGCCGCAGCTACATTTTCATCATTTTCGTGAGGAAGCCTCAGAAAAGAGGGTGTGTACAGGATCCGGTTGTTTTGTTGTAATCCGCTTTCCCTTGCAAAAAACAATAGAAAATGACATTTCTTGTTCTAATATAATCAAATTTCAAGAATCCCTTGCAAAAAATAAGGTAAAGTGGACATTCGCGCGCGCAAGACGAAATCCTTCCAAAACCTTAGTGTTCGCAGCGATTTTAACATAAAAACATCAAAAAACCAATGGTTTTTCAAAAAAAAGTGTCAAAATCTCATCCCGCGCGCTCTTGCGGATTCGTAGGAAACCCAACACTTTTTCAACATTTCTGTCAAACGGGCTTTTGCGAGCAACTTTTTCGAACTTCTGCAACAACGGTTGCGCACCTGCCAGGGCCATCATCCCTGTCAAATAATACCATGCGGGACACATTCGTTTTTTCTTCGCGCGCGCACGCCGTCGTCGTCGGCCGCGGGGCCCTGAATAGTAGCCACGGTCGTCCGCATGCCACGAAGTGAAGTGTCCGAACGTCATAGGGCGGGAAGCTGGGTGTGGGTGGTGGCGAAGAGTCGTTTGGAAATTTGGTAGAGCTTGAACCGGCCCCCCCACAAAGTGGGGGTATTGCCCGCCTCCTATGAAAACCCTGGCACTGGTGAGAACGGAGTGTCCCCACGTGCTAGTAACTGTTGTTGTTGTTGTTGGTGTTGTTGGTGTTGTTGGTGTTGTTGTTGTTCTTCTTCTTGTTTTTATATACAAACATAGTTGCGAGCATAATTTTGCACATTTCTGGCTTCCCCAGGTTCCAGATCCTGCGCCCCGCGCAAGCGCTGCTGAAATTCCGGCTCCCCTACGCCGACGGGGCCACGGAGTACCTCGCCGGAGAGGTGCGGCTGCCCGTGTGGGGCCCCCAGACGACCACGGAGTGCCGCCTCGTGGCCGGGAGCCCGAGGTCGCAGGAGGGAAGCACAACTCCGCTGATGTTTGAGCGCGCGATTGTTTTCTTAGTCTCGGGCGGTGTGCCGATCGGCGCGGGCCCTCGCGCCCCCTCCCTCAGAGAAGGAAGAGGAACCCACACCTCTGCCCCTCTCTCGTTTTCCCCTTCTTGGGCTTCCTGGGAGGTCCTCGTCGCCACCGCTGGATTCGCCTCGGAATCCTGGTCAGAACGCACCCCAGGAGAGGTCTGGAGAGTAGCGGTATCGGTACCTTTTGGTTTCCCCATTCGCCCCCTCCCATGGAGTACAGTCATGTACAGTCAACCCGCATAGTAAGGATGGGCAATTTTCCCAAGGGTACCCTTGCATGCTTGCATCCTCGGTCCATCCTTGGCCACTTTCGTTGGCCGCCCCCCGCTCGGAAAGCTTCGAAACACCCTTCCAAGGCCCTTGCATCCTTATCGTTCGTCCTTCTGATACGGGCCGACTGCAGATCTTGGCTGTTTTTTGGCGCCTGTTTCAAGCAGGTGGAGTCTCCCCCACAGGACGCGTCGCTGCAAGCAGCCGCAGGAGCCAGAGCTCCGGAGCCCCTTCCGCCCACGGCGGAAGCGCCGAGGAAGAGAGTGCTCCCATGGAGGGGGAGGGGAGCACACATAGGAAGTGCATCACAGGGCGGTGGGCCGTGTGGCTTGGGCAGGGGTGCCTCTGTGCGTCCCCCCCGGGTGCCTCTCGCGAGGGACGGCGGCCCCGCGCCCCTCGCCCGCTACGACCACCGCGAGCACCTGGAGCGCCTCTTCTACTTCAACACGGTCGAGCGCGTGTCCACCCACCCGCGGCCAGAGGACGGTGGGCGAGAAGCATGCGGGAGGGGAGAAGACACACAGACACGACTCATCGCCGATCGCCAGGAGCAGATGGGGAGCGGGGGGAGGGCGAGCATCCAGAAGATGCGAGAAGATTTGGAGCATCCTGGGATTTGTGTCTGCTTGCTCGTGTGTCCCAGGGCCCCTTTGAACATGTAGCCGCGCCGTCTGTTCCGACGCGAGGCCCTGCGTCTTGGGGAGGGCGCCGCGGGCACCTGGGCAAACTGCCGCCTCGGGCGCCGTGGGCTCGCCGCGGGGTTTGCGGTGGTGCTGGGTTCGTCTGCTGGAGGCGCGGGATGCAGGGCTTGCCGTGGGCTTGCCGTGGTGTCGGCGTCGTCCACTGGGCGCGGCGAGAACAAACGGCGTGGCGACATGTCACCCTCAAGAGAGTAAGTCGTATCGATGAGCGCATGAATTCAGGCGCGCACCCTCCCGACGACATGTCCGTCATCAGAGCGCGCGGGAGCCACAGCGCAATGGCGGCCATGACCGGCTCTCTCGGCAGGCCTGCCCTGCCGACCGCGTTCCACTACTCGCAGAGTGCCTACTCGCCCGCGTATGAAAAACTCACGCTCGCCTGGATATCAAGGATCGTAGCAATCTCCGCGGCGGATCCAGGCCCATTGCGAGTAGTTCCTGTGCGAGCAGTGGAACGCGCTTGTCTACCGTGGGCGAGAACCATACCCGTTTCCGCGGCCTCGTGGGCCAGGCCGCGCGGAACGTCTCCGTACGACCGCGTACCCGCGGGAGCGCGCCCCAGGGTCCAGACCGCGAGGGCGCGGATGCGATGCGCTCGCCGCTCGTGCGAGGAGGCCGCCGCGGACCCGGAGGCGGCGGAGCGCGCGCTGCTCGGCGCCGGGCTGTGCCGGTGCTTCGACTGCAGCCGGGAGGTCCAGGTGTCGGCACCAGGGCCTGTTTTGGAAAGGCATGGGCGGTGGCGACCGTGATCGGCCCTCTGCCCCCCCCGGATCACGTCACGCTATTTTGCCCACATTTGGGAAGATGCCCTGCGGATTCTTCGAGGATGTCCTCAGGTCTCCAGCGGCCCCCCGCCGTGATGTCATCGGGGAGGGCGAAATCCCCCCCCTCCCCCGGTCACGCCCGCTCGAAAAGCTTCGAAATGGGCGGCCAAGGCCCTGGCATCCTTTTCGCGCATCCTTATGATACGGACCGACTGTACTACAAGGCGTTCAGGTCGGAAGAGCGCCTCCAGCAGAGGCGCCTAGCACTCGATGGCGACGGCTACGGCGCGGACGGCGGTGGCGACGACGGCGCGGACGGCGGCGGCGGCGGCGGCGGCGACGACGACGACGACGACGACATCGACGATCGACGACGACGACGACGACGACGACGACGACGACGGCGACGACGACGACGGCGACGACGACGACGACGACGGCGACGACGGCGACGACGACGACGACGACGACGACGACGACCTTGACGACGACGACGATCGACGACGACGACGACGACGACGAGGTTTGGCAACGACGAGGTCAGGCAGCGGCGCGTCCCCGAGAGGTGCTCTCCGCGCTCCTGCGGGCCCGGGGCGGGCCCGCCGCGGCGGGCGGCCGGGCGTGGGCGGCGGCGGTGGCAGAGCTGTCGGGGGAGCTGTCGCGGAGCTGCGGGCGAGGCCCGAACGGGCTGCTGATGGTGCCGCTGCCGCGGTGGCGGCAGGCGCGCCGCGGGGAGGCGCCGCCGCGCGGCGGGAGGAAGCGGCCGCGGGCGGGCGGGCCCGCCGCGGCGGGCGGTCGCGGGCAGACAGAAAGAAAGGCAGGCGTCGGAGTCGCCGTCGTCGCCGTCGTCGCCGTCGTCGTCGTCGTCGCCGTCGTCGTCGTCGTCGTCGTCGTCGTGTTCCTCATCTGCTCCTCCTATCCTCGGCCACGTTGTCGTCCTCCTCCCCTCCAGCACCTCAGCCAGGAAGCTCGACGCGGCCTGGGCGAGCCCAGAGACGCAGCGTCTGGGGTTTTGGAGCTCTGGCCGCGCGCTCGGCCGCCCGTGGCTGCCGAAGGCCGCCGCTGGCCGAAGGCCGCCGTTGGTCGCCGACCCCGGGACCCACGGGGAGGGGGCAGGAGGAGGGGCAAACCCCTCCCCGAAGGGGGAGGGGGGGAGGGGGAGGGAGGGAGGGGGAGGTGGTGACTCCTCCCTGGGGGGGAGGAGGAGGGGTAATCCCCTCCCCGAAGGGGAGGAAGGGGCAGGAGGAGGGGAGGAAGGGTTTGGGAGAGGGAACTCCCAAAACCACTCGCGCCCAGAGGGCTGGTGGGCTTTTCCCCCCAGGCCCGGGACACCCACAGGGCCGGCCCACCACAGGCAGCACAGCAGTGGAAACGTCAAGTTCTTGGCATCGCTCGGACGTGTGTATGTTTTTCTCGGCGAGGACCCTGGAGGAACATCCTGGGTCATCGAGCGAACCCGAAGAACCCGAAGAACACACGGGGAATGGACGTCCGAGCGATGGCAGGGAGGCCCGTCTCCCAGGGCCAGCGTTCCCGCCCGAGTGCGCAGCTCTGCTGGCGGCGCGGGGGCCGGGCGAGGGCGCCCCTCCTCCTCTCCTCCTCCTCCTCCTCCTCCCTCCCTCCTCCCCCTCCTCCTCCTCCCTCCTCCTCCTCCTCCTCCTCCTCCTCCTCCTCCTCCTCCTCCTCCTCCTCCTCGTCCTCCTCCTCCTCCTCCTCCTCCTCCTCGAGCACCGCGGGACATTCCCCGTGCTCCGTCCCTCGAGGCACCGGAGGCCGGCCTGGGGCGGCGGCGGAGGGCCGCCGAGGGCCGCCGGAGGCCGCCGCCGGACGGCCGCCGAGCGGCCGCCGCCGAGCGGCCGCCGAGGGCCGCGGAGGGCCGCCGACGGGGGGCGGTCGGCCGCGCCCCGCGGCTCAGGGCCGCGCCCCGCGGCTCAGGGCGGGGGTGGCCGCCCCGGGGGGGCGGGCGGCCCCGCGATGGCCAGGAAGCCCCAGCGCGGGCCGTACCTGGCCCTCATCGACAGGGAGCCGCCTCCTCGTCGCCTCCTCGGCCACGCGCCGCGGGGGGGGGGGAGGAGAGGCCCCGAGAGGTACGGGCGGCTCCAGCTTTCCGAGCCGCGCGTTCTCGCACAGTTTCGGGCCACGGGACCCTCACAGATCGAGGCGGCTGGAAAAGTTGTGCAGGAAGATGGGGTCTAGGGCTCCGGGCGTGATTCTATACGATGTTGCATTTTTTCGCTACGTCGGATCTCAGGGTATGGGGGGAGGGGGGAAGGCTTCTTCGAAGCATGGCGCCCTCTGGGAAGCGGTCTCCTTCTAATAAGCCTTCCCCCCTGCCCCATACAGTGGAAACCCATGCCAAGAAGCACCCTGCTTGTCTCCAGGGTGCCCTTGGTTTCTTGGGTTTCGATGGTTTTGCTATGGAAAGCGTGATGCTCCCACACCAAAAACCAATGAACGTCCTGGTGTTTCAGGGTTGGGTTTCTTGTGGAAGGCTTCTTGTGGTCGAGCTCCTACTGTAAGAAGCCTTGCCCCTGCCCCTGCCCCCTCGTGCGCGCCCCCGAGCTTCATTCCCTAATCGATCCCTGAAGTCCCGGCGTGGCAGCTGTTTCGAGCCGGGCGACCGGCGCGGCATCGCCCCCATCCCCACCTTGACATTCCAGAGTGCCAGAAAATAGCCCTCCAGGCCTACAGACCTATCTGGACTGCCGAAAACCTCGATCGGAATTTGGACGTGAAGGTCCTGGTGCTGTTTTGTAGCCCTCCTGGAAGGTCAGGGCAAGCCACCGCACGCTCGCCGCACCCGGGAAGGGCCCGGGAGGGGACCATCTGGCGGCGCGCACGAGGGTCGACTATAGACGTATAGGCCCAGGCCCCCCTCGGGTTGCGAAGTAAACGCGACGGCAGGTCTTTCACTATTTTCGGCCTTCGGGAACCCTTACCCGGCCTCGGCGCCGTCAAAAAACGTGTCAGGACGAAAACCGATCCCGGGGAAGGGGTCCAGACCTTTGGGGTCGACGTTGTGAAACAATCACGACGTCGGGGGTCTGGGGAGTGACCCTTCGCCGGAGTGACCTTTGGTGCGGGCACAACGGGGTCCTCTGGTCGCTGAGCGTGAAGCGGTGGCAGCGGCTTGCGTGCCAGGCATTGACCTCCCCGCGTCCCCCGTGAAGCTTCGGATGTAACTCCTGGGAGATCAAACTCTGACTTCGCCCTGGTCCGACATCCGGTATCAATTGTCGGTCCCGCTCAATCCCGCTCAATCGGGCTTGATCCCGGCTAATCCCGCTTAGTCCGCGGCCTAATCCAGCGTAGCAGCCCCCAAGGGGTTTAGGTTCAATTCTCCCAGATCCTTGGACGAAGACCTCCCAGTAGTTTCAGGAGGGGAAAAAACACACAGACACAATAAATCGTCCACTCCCAGGAAAATATGGGAAAATATGGGAAGTGGGGGGGAAGACAAAAACCCAGAAAATATGAGAAAATATGGGGAATCCTTTTATTTGTGTGTATTTATTTGTGTGTCCCGGGGCCCCTTCATAGTTGCCTCCTAATGAAACCGCGCACCAAAGGTCACTCTTGCCCAGGGTCGCCCCTTGCGTGCCGTCGAACGAGGGGGTGGGGCCCGGGGGGCCGGCCTTGCGAGGAGGCCGGGGCCTGCTCGGAAGGCAGGGGCCTTCTCAGAGGCGCATCCGTTCGTGGCAGCCAAGGGGGGGTCCAACGAGCCCCCCTGGCTCCCGAGGAGCCCTCCAGGCGTCTGGGGGCTTCTCGGAAGGCAGGGGCCCTCTCAGAGGCGCCTCCGCTCTGGGCAGCCAAGGGGGGGGGGGGTCCAAGGAGCCCCCCGTGCCTCCCGAGGAGCCCTCCAGGCGTTTTGGGAGGCCGCCCCCCCTCGCCGTGCCCCCACCTTGGCGCACCCCCCACACGTTCTGTGGCCCCACAGGGAGTTCCACCGAAGGCCCCAGTGGCAGCGCCCGCGTGCAGCTCCACCCCCATCTTGGCGCGCCCCTCACACGCTTCGTGGCCCCATATAGGGAGCATCCTCGCACGTTTCGTTGTCCCGTCGGGGGCTCCACCGAAGGCCCCAGTGGCGGCGCGCGCATGCAGTTCCACCTCCTCTGCTTGTTGTGCGTGGCAGCTTTCTGAACAGCGCGGTCCCCAGGAGCTTCTGGATCCTTCCTTCGGGCTTCGTGCTTCACCCCGCCCGTCTTTTTGCAGTTCCGGTTCCTGGCTTGGGCCCCTGGAGGCAGAGACTAGTGGAACATCTCCCGCCGCGAGTTTTCTGGGGTGACAGCGCCGATCCAAGAAATTTGCGCACAGCTCCGAAAGTTTTATGTCAGGCCTCCTTCTTCTCGCTTTCCTCCGCAAGCCCCTTGACGGCCGCGTGCCTGCCTGCATGCAAGCGGAAGAAGGCAAAGGACGCCCCCTCCGCGATGATTGGATTCGTTTAATTTGCGACTCGCTGCCTTGCGAATGGTCGTCGTCGTCGTCGTCGTCGTCGTCGTTGTCCGCCTCCTCGCCAAGGAGTGCAGAGATGCAGAGCCCATGGGATGGTGGACTCACCAGGAGTACGTCTTCGACGAGCTGTTCCTTAAGAAGCTGTGGCACAAAGCCCAGGAGCTTGGCTACTTCACGGAGCCAGTGAAGGGCGGAGGCAAGAAGCTGCACGTCACGATCTTCCGCCACTTCTTCGAGAGGTTTCACGACCTTTTGGACGAAAAGGAGCCGACCTTCGACGTCGAGCAGTTCGGTGCTGCTACCTCGAGTGCTTACTTGACCTGGACTGACCTCCGAAAGGTGCTCGAGGCGGAAGGCGACGCAGACTCGAGGCTCCCCCGAGTCAGGCTGACGTTCGCAGAGCAGTGCAACTGCGTGTTCGATGGGCGGTGCGCTTCTGCGTTCGACGGGCAGCAGGGGCAGGGGCAGGGCGAGTCCTACCTCAGCTGGTCCGTAGGCCTCGTCATCTTCATCGCGATCATCATGAACGTCATCCAGATATTTGGTGGCGTGGCGGAATGGGTTGGGGACGTTTGCGCCCTAATCTTCACGATCGAGTACGTGTGCAAGTTCGCCGTGGCGCCATTCTGCAGGTACGGCATCTTCAACGAGGATGGGTTTCCGTCGGGAGACTTCACCATTTGCCCGTCACGGACCAATCCCACCAGGCTGGCTCAGATTGTTTCTTATCGCCCCTCCCTCCTCTTCCTCCTCCTCCCCTCCTCCTCCTCCCAGCGAGGACTGGCTCCTCGAGACGGTGGTGCCGGACCCGAAGGACACGGAGCACGTGCTCCCTGCGGGCATGACGTCGAGCAACCGCCTCGCGAAGTTTTTCTTCACACCCATGAGGGGCTTCGGGGCTGGGGGAGAGAAGGTGGAGGGGAGGAGTGGGAGGAGAGCTGGAGGAGGGGAGGACCCACGCGGTGGGAGGAGCCAGGAGGGGGAGGCGGACCCATACAGGAGGAGGGCTCAACCGAAGGGAGGACTCATGAGGGGATTTGAGGGGGGTGGGGGGAGGAGGACGTATGCGAGGGGAGGAGTGGAAAGAGGAGGAGGAGGAGAAGGAGGAGGAGGAGGAGGAGGAGAGACTTCTTGTTGTTTTGTTTTGCGTTTTTGGGCCGTCTCGGGTCCCCTCTTCGCCACGGCCGGACTGGACGGAAATCATCTCGAGAGAGGTCTGGAGGGGTTACTTTGAGGCTCGGGACCCTTGGGCCCGAGGCCATCAGACCACGACCCATCATGCATAGCGGGCGGCGCCCCTGGGATTGGCACCGAGAATCGAGAGGTCCAGGAAACCAGGCAACGGAAAACAAACATGACGTCGGATGTCCAGGGACAAGGGATAGGAACATGGGGAAGGAGGATTCGCGCTCTAGGATTTGACGCTCTTCGGCCCTTTTTTGGCTCGCGGGGCGCCCTCGCCGCGCGGTTGCGTTCGCATCGAACACGCTCCAAAGCATTCTACGCCGTCGAGCTGGAGGGAAGGAGGCGGAGGAGGAGCATGTGGAGGAGTAGGGGGATGATGCTGCTGCTGATGATGATGATAATGGTGATGATGATGCTGCTGCTGATGATGATGACGGTGAACATGATGATGGTGACGACGGTGATGATGCAGATGATGGGGAGTTCTTGAACAGTAATCGCAGAGCGTTGGAGAGCCGCGCGGTGCTTGAATCTGCTACCGCTTCGGCCCAAGCCTTTTTCGGAGGAGGTCGCGTGCTGCCAGGCCCGCGCGCGACCTGGATGCGCCAGGCGGCCCGCGGCGCGGTGCTCCTGGCGTTCCACGTGGGCACGGCGTGGCTCGGGCAGTGGTGGGCCAGCCGCGGCTCTGCCAGCCCTTCGGCCGCGCGGCCCGTGGCCGCCGCGCCGCCGGCCGTGGCGCCGGCGTCCGCTCCGCCATCGCGGAGCTGCCCGGCGGCCGCGCCGCCGACCCCCGCGCTGGCTGGCGAGCTGTGCGCGGAGTTGGAGAGGTGCCTGCCCTGGGGGGCTGCGGCACCGTTGGTGGAGTGCCCAGACCCTTGCCCGGCGTGCCCCGAGCCGGCCAAGGCGGAGTTCTCCTGGGGCTTCGAGGTCTCTTTGGGCCTGGGGACCCTTTTGCTGTGGGAGCTCGCCACCAGGCTGTGGGCCGCCGTGCGCAGCCAGGCGGGCCGCTGCTGCGGCCGGAAGCGCGAGGGCGTCCTCGCGGTGGAGGCCCGGCTCGAGCCCACCCCGCCTGGCGGTGCTCCTGATCGCAGGGTGCCCGGAGGCCGCGGCAAGTTCGTCGGCTCGTCGGCGATTGGGCACCGCTTGCGATCAAGGCATGAGCATTGGCGATGAGATGTACGTCGAGTATGATCTGCCAGGGGTGCCTCTCTTACATGCCCGTGCCGTGGTCGGCGTCTCTGGGATTGAGAGGCTCCACGCGGCGGTGGTCTCGCCGGACCACGACCTCTTCGTCGAATTGTTCAGCGAGGACAACGACGACGTGCGGCACTGGTACCGCGTGGGGCCTGGGCGTGTGCTCATCCGCGAGGATGGGGACATCACGCCAGCCGCGGGCGGAGCAGGGTTCAGGGTGCACGATTTCGCCGCGCCCCTCACGCCTGCGGAGCTACAGGCCTTCGCGCAGCAGGCCGGGGTGCTCCTTGCTGGCCATGATGCTGCTCTCGCTGTCGCTGCGGCGCGTCCTGCAGCTGGTGGTGGCGGAGCGGTGGTCGCCGGTGGAAACGACCGCCTTCCATCCGTGAAACGTTTGCAAATGTTTGGTCCGAGTGTGCGCGTCGCTAAAACGAGAGCCACATCTTGAAAGAGGACCACCCTCCATCCGTGAAGCTCTTGCACATGTTTCATACGAGTGCGCCCAGCGCTAAGGCGAGAGCCACATTTCGAAAACGACCCGCCCATCATCCGTGAAACTGCTGCAACTTCTAAACTTCAAGATCGTGGATGGTGTGGACGTATCAGGCGAAATTCCCGGCCCGCTCTTTCGACCGGCCCCAGTTGCGACAGGGAGGAGTTTTTTTAGAAGGAAGAGGGATGGAGGAGGACGAGGGGGAGGGAGGAGGATGAGGTGGAAGAGCGGGAGGGATAGAGGGAGGGAGGGGGGCCGAGGAACCTCATAGACCTTCTCTCGATCCTGCCCACGTTGGTGGAGCCAGTGATCAAGCTGCTCGCGGGAAGCAGCGAGGAGCGGGGCCCGAATCAGCCGTCCTCTTTCCCTCCCCTCTCTTACTTCCCTCCCCTCCCCTCCCCTCCCCCCGTCCGTCCCTCCCTCCGTCCCTCCCTCTCCGCCGTCTCCTCCTCTTCCTTTCCTCCCTCCCCTCCCCTCCCCTCCCCTCACCTCCCCTCCTCTCGGAAGACCCGGGAATCACGATTACAGAAACTTGGAAATCCAGATTTCCGGGTTTTCGGCCGGGACCCTTTCAAAACCCGGACATCTAGGTTTCCGAGTTCCCGCCAGTAGAAGGAAGGCCCTTGGGAGGCCCCCTAGAGGCCTCCAAGGAGACCGCAAGAAACCTACGTACTAAAGAGGTGTCGTGTCCACGATCAAGACTGGCTCCAACGTGCCCCCTAGAAGCCATCGAGAGGCAAGAGGCGTCCTGCCCACGTCCACGGCTGGCTCCAAAGTGCCCCCAGGAAGCCTTCGAGAGGCCGCCTGCTCATCCTCATCTTCCCCTCCTCATCCTCCCTATCCTGCTCCTCCTCCTCCTCCTCCTCCTCCTCCTTGCTCGCCACAAACAGACTAACATATAGCACCAGAGGTACAATGTCGGCCGGTTCAACGGGCCAGAAGCGTGCGAAGATCTCCAGTGACTGGTAGTCCCGAGAGGCCCACAATCGCAAGAGCTCCAAAATTTCTTCCTCGGGAGCCACCCAGAGCTCTCCAAGGAGACCCCCCCCCCAGCGGCGGCTCGACAGCAACTGCCTCAGCTTGAACGCTCCCCGCGCGCCGCGCCAGAAACCGCCGCTCTGCGGCACCACATTGATAACGACTGCACGGGGACCCGAGAGCCGTTAAGCAAGACGGGCCAGCAGGATGAGCGAAGCGATTCAATAACTTGACACATTTTCTTCGGCTTGTGATTTTCCAGATTTTCCCCGCGGGGTATCTAACAGGTTGGTCCCGAGCTGGAACCACGAGTTTTCACGTGTCCAGGCCAACCAGAGGGGTATCTAACACGATGGCCCCGAGCTGACACCACGTGTTTTTGCGTGTCCAGCCTATCTGGAACCACGTGCTTTTACGTGTCCATGCCACACAGGGGGGTATCCAACATGGTGGTCGCGAGCTGAGACCACGTTTTTTACGTGTCCAGGCCGCCCAGAGGTGGTTGCCTCCTGCCCCTAGCTGCAACCACGTGTTTTCACGTGTCCAGGCCACCCAGGGCGGTATCTAACATAATGGCCCCGAGCTGGAACCATTAGCTTTCACGTGTCCAGGCAACCCAGAGGGGTATCTAACATGGTTGCCCCGAACTGGAACCACCTGCTTTCACCCCTGCCTGGGGGCCCACAGGAGCAAGACGCCGTCAATACATCGACGCCAGATGTGTAATGACCTGACGCAGCTTCTTCGGCCGATGATTCTTCAGGTTTCCCACTGGGGTATCCAACATGGTGGTCCCGAGCGGGAGCCTCGTGGTTTCACGTGTCCAAGCCACCCAGATGGATATCTAACGTGGTGGCCCCGAGCGGGAGCCACGTGTTTCATGTGTCCAGGCCACCCAGGGCGGTATCTAACATGGTGGTCCCGAGCTGGAGCCACGTGCTTTCACGTGTCCAGGCCATCCATAGGGATATCCAACATGGTGGTCCCGAGCTGGAGCCACGTGCTTTCACGTGTCCAGGCCACCCATGGGAGTATCTAACATGGTGGCCCCGAGCTGGGACAACGTTTTTGACGCGTCTGGGCCACATGGGGGATATCTAACATGGTTGTCCCAGGTTGGGGCCACGCGCTTTCACATGTCCGGGCAACCCAGAGGGGGCATCCGACATGGTTGTCCCAAGCCTTGAGCCATGTGTTTTTTCACATGACCCCTGTCGCGTCCATTGGCACGTTCCGTGACGCGTCCTTCTGTCAGGATTCGGATGCAAGGGGAGAAGTGATCCACGACGCAACAGAGCGCAGAATTGTTCAGATTCGCCCCTTTTCGGTTCGTCCCGCTTCCGAACTGAATCGGATCTTGAGCTCGAGCTGGTCGAGCGCCCCGCGCGTTACAATTGCGGCCAGATATGAGTTATGCGTTCAGGCTTCTCGAGCTTACGATCTCGATCAGTTCAATCGGGATTCTGACGCCAAGGACGACCTCATCCACAAGGCAATAGAACACAGCACTTCAACGCGGCATGGCGCGTCTCAGTTCAGCACAGCACAGCACAGCACAGCACAGCCCCTGGCATTGTACATCACCATCGCTACCTTGAGCATTGCACTTGCCCGTCGCCAAATTGTGGTGCCTTGAGCATATCCCATGCTTCACATTTCTATATTTCTTTCCGGTTCGTCGGTCGGTCATGTTTCGTCGCCCACATGTTCTTCCCCAGTAGCTGTTGTCATCAGGAAAAGTCGCGAGCCAAGCCCCGTGAGCCCCTAAGAACGCCTATCGATTAGGGGAATCTGGGGCATGGGCCCCTGAAGCATTCACAATCCTCGCTGCGGAGAGCGGAAGGGATATGGGAGCACTCCATTTCGTGCCTCGCGGCACGGTGGCAGACATAGGTTAGTCTTGAGTCAAAGTGGAGACAAGCCTCAAGCCCACTCTGTTACGATGCAGTTGTTGTCACTGATATGTGGCGACGACGGCACGCGATGCAGGCCTCTGGTAAGACGTGTGCTCCTATGCTGCCGCTGCCCTGCAAGTAGCCCCCTCCCCCACCTTGTCCCCCTCCCCGTTCTTCTTGGCTTCCACTCCCCATCTGGCCCCCTCTCCTGCTGTGGCGAGGACGGGGGCATGAACCTGACATTCCTGCGGGCCCTGCGGCTGTTCCGGATTTTCCGCATCCTGAAGTTCGGCAAATTCAGCTCTACGCTGACAGTTCTGGGGGTGACGATCGGCAACAGTGTGCACTGGGGAGGGGAGTGAAAGGGCGGACGGGGAGGAGGCGGCAGAGGAATGATGAGTGATGAGGGTGATGGTGATGCCTCTGCTGCTAATGCTGCTGCTTCTGCCACTGATGATGCTGATCATGATATGGTGATGATGCTGATGATGATGATGCTGCTGATGCTGATGCTGATGCATGACGATGCTGATGCTGATGATGATGCGGCTGCTGCTGCTGATGATGATGAGGAGGAGAAGGCTGATGGTGACGACGACCGTGACGACGATGATGATGCTGATGATGATGTTGATGCTGCTGCTGCTGATGATGCTGATGATGATGACGAAGACGTCGAACACGCAGCTTCATGATGATTGTTTAGGGTCATGGTAATGGTGATGATGAAGATGATGCTGCTGATGATGGTGAAGACGACGCTGCTGCTGATGATAATAATGCTGCTGATGATGACGATGATGAAGGTTATGATGATGATGCTGCTGATGACTGTGGTGATGATGACGATGGTGATGATGATGATGATTATGATGATGACGATGGTAGTGACGGTGATGAAGATAATGATGCTGATTCTGATTATGATGACGATTATGTTGATGATACTGATAATGTTGGTGGTGGTGGTTGTGTTGATGACAGTGGTACTGCTTATGATGATGATGCTGATGATGATGATGCGGCTGGAGATGATAATGACGACGATGATGATCATGATGATTATGCTCATGATGATGATGATGATGATGATGATGATGATGATGATGATGATGAGCATTCTGATAATGATGATGCTGATGCAGATGATGATGATGATGATGTTGATGATGATGATGATGACGATGTGTCTATTATTGCTGTCGACAATGATGGTGATGATGCTGATGATGACGAGGATGCTGCTGATTATAATGATGATGTTGATAATGATGCTGCTGCCCATGCTGATGCTGGTGCTGATGCTGATGCCGATTATGCTGATGATGGTGATGATGATGGTGATGATGATGATGGTGATGGTGGTGCTGATGATACTGATGGTGATGCTGCTGCTGATGATGCTTCTGCTGATGCTGCTGATGAGGATAGTGATGATGATGGTGATGCTGAGGATGATGATGATGCTGATGATGATGATGATGATGATGATTCTGATGACGATCGTGATGATGACGATGAAGATAATGGTGATGATGATGCTGTTGTTGATGATGGTGATGATGGTGATGACGCTGATGCTGATGATGATGCTGTTAATGCTGATGCTGGTGATTGCGGTGGAGGTTGTTGCGTTGATGACAGTGGTGATGCATATGATGAGTATGCGGCTGAAGACGATGACGACGACGATGATGATGGTGATGATTATGCGTATGATGATGTTGACACTTATGGGAGTGCTGATGGTGCGGATTATGATGATGGCGGATCTGATGAATATGATGTTGCTGATGATGACGTGTCTATCGCTGTTGATAGTGATGATAATGATGATGGTGATGATGCTGGTGGCGATGCTGATGATGGTGATGATGTTGACGACGATTATGCTGATGCTGATGCTGATGGTGCTGGCGATGATGCTGCTGCTGATGCTGATGCTGATGCTGATGCTGATCATGGTGACGATGGTGATGATGATGCTGATGAGGATGGTGATGCGGATGCTGGTGATGCTGATGCTGCTGCTGATGCTGATGACGATGGCAATGCTACTGATGATGATGATGATGCTGATGCTGATGATGATCCTGGTGCTGATGGTGATGATGACAATGATGGTACTGATGCTGACGATGATGATGACGATGCTGATGATGAGGATTATGACGATGATGGCTACGATGCTGCTGCTGCTGACTATGGTGATGCTGATGATGATGACGATGGTGATGTTAATGATGATGCTGATGCTGATGATGCTGATCATGATGATGATGCTGATGTTGATGGTGATACTGCTGTTGATAATGCTGCTGATGATGATGGTGCCGACGCTGATGATGCTGTTTATGATGATGCTGATGAACCTGATGATGATGATGATGATGATGATGATGATGACGATGATGCTGCTGCGGATGATGATGATTCTGATGATGATGGCGTGTGGTGGCGGTGGGGGTGATGCGGGTGCTGATGATGCTGATGACGATGCTGAGGATGCTAATGCTTTGGATGATGATGATGCTGGGTAAAGATGATGCCGATGATGATGGTGCTGATGATGGTGACGATGATGATGCTGACGGGGATGGTGACGATGATGAGGATGATGGTGCTGGTGATGATGATGGTGTTGATTATGATCATGCTGATGATCCTGATGATGCCGAATCCGATGTGGACGATGCTGCTGATGCTGTTGATGCTGACGATGCTGATGATGTGGATGATGATGCTGATGATTTTCATGATGATGATGACGATGGTGATGCTGAGTATGATGAAGATGATGATGCTGATGCTGATGCTGCTGATGATGATGATGATGATGATGATGATGCTGATGCTGATGACGATTACTGGCGACGCCGACGAGGCGTAGAGGAGGAGGAGGAAGAGGAGAAGTATGAGTGAGGAGGAGGAGGAGGAGGAGGAGCAGGTGGAGGAGGAGGAGAACAATAATGAGGAGGAAGAGGAGGAGGTGGAGGGGGAGGAGGGGGAGGAGGAGGAGGAGGAGGAGGAGGGAGGAGGAGGAGGAGGAGGTGGAGGAGGAGGAGGGAGGAGGAGGGAGGAGGAGGAGGAGGTACAGGAACAGAAAAGGAGGGGGGAGGAGGAGGAGGAGGAGGAAGGAGGAGAGGAGGGAGGGGAGGAGGAGGAGGAGAGAGGAGGAGGAGGAGGAGGAGAGAGGGAGGGAGGGAGGAGGAGGAGGAGGAGGAGCAGGAGGAGAGGAGATGTTTATGGAGGAAGAAGGATGCATGAGATGAGGATGATGGAGGAGGAAGAGCAGGAGGAGCAGGAGGAGGAGTAGAAGGAGGAGGAGGAGGAGGAGGAGGAGGGCGATGGAGGAGGATGATGAGGAGGAGGAGAAATAGGAGAAGGATGAGGAAGAGGAGGAGGAAGAGGAGGAGGAGGAGGAGGAGGAGGAGGAAAGGAGGAGGAGGAGGAGCAGGAGGGAGGAGGATGGAAGAGGAGCAGCAGTCTCTTCGAGATCAAGGGACTCCCTTCGCCATCCTGCAAGCGGAGAATCCAGGATAAGCTGTGTCCTCTCAGTTCTCCTCTCCTGCAGGCGCTGGCGAACAACTCGACTCATCCCTTGCGCCCTCGGGATGGTGGGGTCGGCGTTTCGGGAGAAGGCGCCGGTTCGGACCTGACTGATCTGGGGCCCGAGGGTCCTGACACGCTGACGGTCCCCGCCTCCGCCGCCCCGAATCCCGCCGGCCTCGAGCATATCTTCCCACCCGCGTGCCCTTTCCGTCCTCGCGCCCCCCCCCCGGCCCCTCGGAGGGGTCCCTTGCTCTCTCGGGGCTCCTCTCGTATGCGCGCCAGCTAGGTGGTGATTCCCAACCAGCCATCAGGCTGGCTGATTACAGCATGCTTGCAACGTCCTCCGTGGGCGGTGGAAAGGAAGGTGGCCTCCTCTTCCTTCCTCCTCCCTCGTCCTCATCAGTTGATGGTCCGTCGAGCGTCGGTTGGCCCAGCCTGGGCTTACCTGGTCGAAATCCGCGGGCACCGTCGGATCATCTGGCGGCCCTCGGCGCGCTTGCGCGCAAGAGTCGGAGAGCCCCGGCGGACGAGCGCACGCGCGTTCCAGGTCATCGGCGCGTGCTCTCCCCCTTGCCCCCTTCTCTCTCTCTCTCTCCTCTCGGCCAGGTGCAGGCCATCGGTGTGCTCTGCCTGTACATACTGATGATCGCGATGCTCGCGGGCGCGGTGATCCAGCAGTTCGAGAATCCAGGGGACACTGCTCCCGAGGACGAGGAGCTGGCCAAGGCCTTCGGGAACGTGCCGATGGCGATGAAGTGGGTCGCTGGGCGCATGGTCACCATGCAGCACAGCCTGCCAGAGAAGAAGGCACTTCCTCAGCACCTCGGGAGCGCGTTCATCGTGATATTCCTGGGCCTGTTCAAGGGCGTGATCTTCGTCCTGCCGATCGCGACGATCACCACGGCGTACAGAGCCGCGGAGAGCAAAAACAAGAGCCAGCAGAATTTGCAGAGAGAGGTTGCAGATAATAGAATCACCCCTCTCGGGACGGAGTGGAGCAAAGATCCCAACGCTCCTGCAGCGCGCGTTGAAATTAGAGGCGAAGCTGACCATGACTCTCCCCTGATCGCAATCGGATCGTTCAATTTACCCTTCTTCAGAGGCCTTCGGCCCAACCCGCCACTAGTCGAAGAAGACAACCGACATAAACATCAACTGTTGTAGGTCCAGGGTGATTTCTTGGATCGGCGCTGGGCCCCGCTGGTGCGCTCCAGGGAAGGGTGGTCCAGCGCCGATCCGAGAAATCTTCGCGGACCTCCGAAAGTTCAATTATCTTCCGTTGGTACTTCTTCTCATCCCGCCACTAGGTTGTGGACCAGAGGATTCCTACATGCCGGCTGGGAACTCTTGGAGAGCTTCTTGGGGGCTTCCTGCGGGCTTGGGGGCTTCTTGGGAGCTTCTTGGGTTCTCGTGGGGGCATGCCTTGGGGGTCCTGGGAGCCTCTAAGTCCGTCCTGTGCGCTCTTAAGCACGAAGAGGCGAGAAGGCTAAGCATTCTCACACACTTTGTTGTTTCAATTGTTTGGCCTCTTGGGGCGGCTCCCAAAGCATCCAAGAGGGTCCAGGAGGCGCCTAAGTGGGTTCAGGGGCCTCCTGGGGCTTCCTGGGGCTTGCTGGAGGGGGGGGAGAGGGTGTTGGGGCCATCCAAGTCTATATCGGACGGCTGGAATCCCCACCACGCTCCCGATGCCCCCGGAAAATGGCTGCGACAAGCGCCAGAAGGTCCCGGGCAGCGCCGAGAGCGCCCAGAAATTTTGGGCCTTGGCCATTCAAAGAGTAGCTGCAGTGCTCGATGCAGAGATCTCTCTCTCGAAGGGACTTGAGGGCACTCCACTCCGTGCCTCGCGGCGCGGTGGCGGATACACAGAAGGTGCGCGGCCATGTGATGTGAAGTTTTGGGTGCCGCTCGTCGGCTCGCTGAAGGGCATGTTCAGAGGTCACCCGGGCGTCGAGGTCAGGGTGACCTGGCAGGCCGACGAGGCCTCGAGGCCGAGCGAGAGGCTGCCGAAGGGCAGGCTGACTGTCCGCGTGATCAGCGGCGCAAACTTCGCCGCCAGGGCAGGCGCGCGCTGGCACTGCGTGGTGGAGGTGCCCGTCAAGCTGTACCCGGAGGACGAGGAGGACGGCCAGAGCGACCACCTGCTCCGGAGGGAGTACCGGCAGACCGGCGGAGACGGCTCGTCGCCGGACTTTGACACCGAGCAGGACTTTGCCGTGTGGTGGGAGGACAAGGGGAGCAGCAAGCAGAGCCCAGAGGAGTGGCGGAGGCAGGTGCTCGAGATGCTCCAGCAGCAGGGCCAGAAGCTTGATACGCTCCAGTCCAGGGCCAGGGCGCAGAAGTGAGCTGCGACGTCACGCACGGCAACGTTTCCGTCGGCATTGTCGTCAGTACGGGGGCCTCGCCGAAGCCAGTACGTAGGTCTGTGTATCTGCCCAATGCAGGGATACCGATCGTTCGAGGCGCTGGGCACCTCCGACACTGGTAGCTGTCCAAACACGAGACGTCTGAAGCTCCTCGATGTTTGTTCAGCGCAGCATGCGCCAGACAAGGTTTCAGGCGACCTTTCACGCACGCTTCGAGCATCTTTCCGAAGTGGGTTATCTTTAACTCTGCAGATTCCCAGCTTCTCAGATCAATATTTGCGAGCTGGCTGGATTCTATGTAAAACATGCCCCTCGCTGCCGACTGCCGCTTCCGTTGGGATCCTCAGCTCAAGGCAGCTTCCCCCAGTTTCTACGCCCTCCGCCATTCTCATTACGGGATCCCTTATCCTCTTTCTATTTCTCCGTACATTTCCACTGCTGTGGCGTTGCCGCTGCGTGCGTTGGGCGATGCTTTCGCTCTGCAGTGGTACCGCGTTGTTGCTGCCTCGCCTCGGTGTTTGGTGGCGTGCTTTTTCCCAGGAAGGGCGCGGGCCCGAGGTTCTCTTTTAGTAGGTAAACCTGTCCCTCGGTGCCAAGTTCGAAGACGGCCAGCGGGTTTAATTACGATACATAGCATAGTCGAAGAGGGCCAGCGGAACGAATTTTGAGGATGTCCCGAGCACAACGCAGTGTTTTGAAACTCCGATCGCTGACCATATGGTAGCGTTAACATTTTTCTTTTGTTGCGGACGTCTCCAGCGAAATGCTTGTTTGCAGAATTTGTTGAGGATGTCTCGAGCGAAACGGTTGGTTCGTGCTATAGATTGCTCCTCTCCTGGGGGCCTGAATTCAGAACATGTCCCAGGCGAAATGTTTGTTTTCACGTGCAAAGGTCGCTCAGGGGGGTATCTGACATGGTTGTTCCCAGATGGAACTATGTGTTTTGACGTGTCCAGGCCACCCGAGGGGTATCGAAAATGGTGGTCCCGAGCTTGAACCATGTGCTTTTACGTGTCCAGGCCACCCAGATGGGTATCTAACATGGAGGCCCCGAGCTGGAACCGCGTGTTTTTACGTGTGCGGGCCACCCAGTTGGATATCTAACATGGTGGCCCCGAGCTGGAACCGATTGTTTTTACGTGTGCGGACCACCCAGTTGGATATCTAACATGGTGGCACCGAGCTGGGCCGAGTTCTAGACGCTTCGCGTATCCCCACTAGCAGCACGGATGCCCGAGACATTCCCCCCGCGACCCAAGATGATCACCGAACGGAAGGCCGCCCGGGCCCTGCTCTTCACGAGACAACAACCCCACCTACTGGAAGGCAGACACTTCGGCAGGATCACCTACACGGCGGCCTGGGCCCAAATGAATAGCCGACACTTCACAGAGTGACTCCAGAACGCCAGCCACGGAAGAAGATGGCAGCCCTCCAGAGGGGAGGAGTGGCAATTGCTACGCCACTGCTCCACCTTCACCGCGGCACATCATGTGATGAGGATCCTTTGCAACGGCCTTCCTGGTTCGGCAAGACGCAGGGGAGACGACGAAAGAATACCCCACAGGTGTCCCTGCGGGGCGCCGGCCAGCAAAGTGTGGATCACCGCCGGCCCGAACGACGAGGGGGCGGCCTGGTGTGCAAGATGCGTCGGCACCGGCCCACACACCTTCGCCCTCTGGCAAACCCTACCCCCCGACATACTCCCACTCCCTCTAAGGGCTCAGGCTGACGCATATGTAAGTACGGGTGGGCGCCTACGGCCACCCGTCATAATAGGGCTCTATGGACGCTGCCCGCTCTGTGGGATGGGTGAGGCGACCACAGAGCACGTCTGGCATTGGTGCCCAGCAGCAGCCCTTGTCTGGGGCACCATACGGGGGCCAGACGACCCATCGCCCGAGCCATTACCAGCGAGGGTGAGCATCAGCCGTTACTCGCCAAGATTCTACATCAGATCTCCTTCAGATATTGCGTCAACCTCACAGCCTCCCCCCTCGAAGCAGGTGGCGCCGCCTGACTCATCCTGCGCGGGTTGGCCACCCTCGACGCTGATCATCACGAGGAGAGCGATGAAGAGGAGCACAGGGACAACGAGCCCCCAATAATTAGCAGTCCAGACGAGACAGCCGTGTGGACCGTCCTGCGGGACACATGTCGCACGTGCAACCCCTGTTCCGCCCCCGCTGGTTCGGTCTGTGGTGCTGCCAGGCCCCAATTACAGCGACACGCGGGCAGGGCAGGAGGCGAGATCCGCAGGCTCCCGATTGTCACCAGACACCACAACCCAGAGGACAGAATTGTGGTTTTGCAGTCCCCCCACACGCGGGCTGCATGGATGCCTCCGGGCAGAAGCTGGTTCCCTTGCCCAAGGACGGACAACTTCCCCACTGCCAGCTGGTCGTCCATCTTCTGCCAGGAGTGCAGGCTCCACACTACCACGCTAACGGCCAACACGAGACTCGAGCCCGGCGACGAGGTCATTGTACGCGATTCTCCCTTCCCCGACTCTGACTCCACCCGATGGCCGTACGAGGTCACCTTCGACGGAGGGGCAAGAACCATTGGAAACGGTGAAAAGGTGTCGGGCGCCGGGGCCATCCTCTGGCACCACAGCCCCAACACCGGGTCACCCCGGGTACTCGCCATAACCATCGTTGCGCTCCCAGATTGCAGCAATTCTCAGATGGCAGAGGTGGCAGGCTGCCGTGCTGGGCTGGCGCTGCTCCCTCACCGAGATGGCCCAACCCGGATGGCTCGGATTGTGGGCGACAACCTGGCAGCCGTGAGATATGGGGCCGGCACCGCCAGATATCGAAGGCTCCACCTGGCTCAGCAGATGGAGGACGCTTTAGGACAAGTTGAAAGTGCTGGGTGGGTCCTCACGTGGCAGGCCGTCAGACGCAGACTGAATAAAGCTGCTGATAGCCTGGCCACCATTGGGGTTTACTGGGCGGACTCCCTCCGCAGGGAAGGCGTTACAGCTGTCACCTCTCACATGCAGTGGAATGGTAACACCCCCTCTCAGCCAGTGCACTTTCCCGACGTCGATCTTCGGGAAACCAACCTCTGCGACCCTATCGCGGCAGCAGAAGCTGCTCACCTGCTCATGCACCCCTCCTCCGCTTCCCTCTCTGCCCCGCTTCGATCCGATCGTCGAGCGACTGATCGCCGCAACATCTGAGTTTCCGTCGCGGTGGCTCAAGATTTCCCCCCGCGCGCCCATTTGCCAGTCACGCAGCTATCGGGCGCACTTCCCCCCTACGTTCCAACAGGATGCCAAAGAAGAAGCAGAAGAAGAGTAACAGCGGGCCCCTGGCCAGATGGCCTTCCCCCATCCAACACTGTGAGCAAGGTCCCAGCGCAGAAGACGCTCTCCGACCCTTCCGTGCTCGGGAATGCCCATGGCTTAGATGGGCACGTTTCAACCATGAGTGGTGCTGGTGGTGTGAGATCTGCCAGAAGTACTGCGACGGCAAGGAACACCTCCTGGGTGGGGACCACTTCAATATACACTCAGCAAGGCAACCTCTGGACCAGGACCCAAGGATCGACCACAGACAGCGTGACAGGTCTCAAAATTGAGAGACAACTATGGCCAGGCTGGGAACTTCCTGGCCCAGTCAAGGGCGGCAGCCGTGCGCACCTACCAGGCTGGACCTTTCCCGAGGACTGGGGCCACGTGCCGGTCAACTTCCTCTTTCGCGACGACAAGTTCGACTTCTCCATTTCCACCGACGCCATGCGCTCGACTGACCTCGGACCGCCCAGCCAATACCGACATGGATGGGGGGTCGCCCCATGGCGCGCTACAGGGGCCTGGGGGGGCACCGACCTGCCCCCCCCCAATCCAGCCGCAGCAGGGGGGCCGCGCGCCCCACCGACCCAGAAGGAGAGACGCGCCGGCTCCAGCAGGGCCTCTTCGCTGGACCCGATGGATCGGACAGGGCAACCGCGAGGGGGCGGGGACAACTGGGCAAGCGACGCCCCCCCCCAAGACAGCCAGACGACACCAGACTCTCCTGCAGACGCAGCAGCTAAGGCTATCATACGGCTATACGCCATACCCGCTGACAGCCCAGGGGCTCAATTCCGCCTGCGCCCCCCCCTGGGCGCGGTTCCCAACGGAGTCAACCTGCCAAAGCACTGGGAGCAGGATGCACGACGAAGAGGCTGCACTCTGTGCAGGTTAGCCTGGGCCGAGTGCATGGCAGCCACTGAAACAGTATGGGGCGGCTCCGCGAAGGCCAGAACAGACTTGGCACGTAAAAAGAGCTGTGCCCTGGAGGTGACGGTCGCCCCCGTCAACGAGCGGTCCACCTGCTTCCTTCTCGACAATTGCAAGCTTCGCAACGCTTTCCCCCCGCAGGGCGGAAAGCTGTTTTTTGCATCTACAATGGCCAGTCGAGTTCAAGCTGATGCTCCGAGGATTGAAAGGGGGACTGGACGCGCAGTCACGTACATTGCTTCTCCGGCTCACCGGCCCAACGGAGGACCAGATTACTACCCTCAAACTCGCGTGGCCCCCGGACTTCGGAGGCGCCATTCCCCACAGCGAGTGCGACGTCGTCGGACTAAGGGCAGGCTCCACGTACCCCGCCAACCAAGCCCTGGCCTGGTGCGACTCCAGTCAGACTGGGGAGTTACTCCCACACGGAGCGCCCGCGAAGTCAGACAAGGAAGGCGACGTCGTGCACCGAGTGGGCAAAGCTCCCCCCAAGCTGCAATGCTGGCGGATTTCGAACGCCATCAGTGAGATCTACAAACTGCAGCAGGCCCCAGACGACCTGGTAGGTGCACCGCTCGACGCCATTACATTCCTACTCAACCACCGCGCCGTCGACAGAAAGGACAGGGTACTGGCCAACGAAGTGGAGAATACCAGAACGCGCAGCAGCTCCCCTCTTTCCAGGGCGAGAGCCACCATCGAGGCCAAGGCACTCAGCTTTCCCCGCACAATCGAGGTGGACGGCGCGGCACAACTGCAACAGCAGAGCAAGGGGCCATCTGACTTCCCATTCGCGGGCGACGAAGTTGACAGCGCTACAGGACAGGTTCTCCAGCGGGTCAGAAACGTTCCCCCCGCCACCAACCAGAACGACGCCGCCCAACGCCACCGACTCAATGAGGACGCTACCAAGGCCTTGGTCGCCACCATTCGACACCGCGTCACGGTGGTTCATGGGCCCCCAGGGACCGGCAAAACATTCTTTTCAGTGGCCACAATGGACTCCTGGGCAAGCTCGCTTCCCAAGGAGCAGGCAGTGGCCCTCACGGCAGGGTCGAACACAGCCGCCGACCAACCCGCCATCGGCCTTGGGGTTGCGC